GGAGGAGGGTGGAGGTAAGGACGTAGGAATACCTAGCGTATCCCCAGATGAAGTTACTGTAGTAGCTGGTCAGGCCTAGGAAGCTGCGAAGCTGCTTGGCGGATGTGGGAGCGGGTCACTCCGCAATAGCAGTGATCTTCGCGTCGTCCATGTGGAGACCCTGGTCAGACACGTAGTGTCCTAAGAAATCCACTTTGTGCTGGGCAAAGCGGCACTTGCTCAACTTGGCGTAGAAACTATGTCTGCGCAAGCGGTCAAGGACATCGCGGAGATGTCTGAGGTGCTCCTCAAGAGTACGACTATAGACCAGGATATCGTCGAGGTAGACGAGAACGTACTGCTCCAGGATGTCCCTGAAGATGTCGTTCATCGCCCTCTGAAAGGTAGCGGGAACATTAGTGAGGCCGAATGGCATCACCGTGAACTCGTAGTGGCCGAATCGCGATCGGAACGCGGTCTTCGGCTGGTCGGCTGCAGCGATGCGGATCTGATGGTAACCGCTACGAAGATCAATCTTTGTAAAGAAGCGGTTGCCTGCTAGGCGGTCGAACAGCTCATCGGAACGAGGCATGGGGTAGTTGTTCTTAACCGTGTAGCGGTTGAGACCGCGAAAGTCGATGCAGAGACGGAGAGTGTCGTCCGCTTTGTGAGCAAAGAGGACGGGTGCACCCCACGGGGAGTTGTTGGGTTTCATGAAACCTAGTCTCAGGAGCTTCTCAAGCTGACGCTTGAGTTCAGTGGCCTCGGGGATCGAGAGTCTGTAGGGTGCCTGGTGGTGAACACGATAGTCAGACACAAGTTGAATGGAGTGCTCGACGTCACGCATCGGTGGGATGCCGGCGTACGAGAACGACGATGGGAAAACGTCGTGGTACTCTCGGATGAGGTCACGAACTGCGGGCTCCAGGTCAGCCGTATATCGTGCGAGTTCCGGACGGAAGTAGAGAAGGGAGCCATGGAGATAGAAGGAGGATCTGGCTCCAAAGGGAGGAGCTCGGTGTCGGGACAGGGTGGATCATAGTGTAAGAGATCCGTCACGTTCACCATAAAGAAGGTGACGTCGTCCTGTCGGATGAACTGGGCGAACTGCCGAGGCGAAGTGACAGTGATAGAAGGAGATGGTATGGGCACAGAAGGCTCTGGGAGAGGAGGATCGGGGCGTGGTGTCGCAGTGGTACCTATGAAAGGTACACGATACGTCTGTCCACACTTCGTTTTGAGAACGAGAGTGTTGGTTGCCCAATCGGCCTTGGTGCTGCGGAACCTACGAGACCACGGAGTGCCGAGAATGAAGTCGTACCCCGTCTCCATCACATCAAATGTGCAGAGGAGTGGTGGCGACGAGACGCCGGGAAACGATCAGTCGGCTCGAGAGTATGAAAGAAAGGGAGGTCGGTGACCGTCTGATCGGAGAAGCGTTGAGTCTTGTCATCCCCTAAGGTAACGGAGATGGGAGTCGGAGACCCTGTCGTGGGTAAGCGAGCTTCTTTCACCACGAATGGGTGAATGAAGTCGCCTTGAGAACCGGAATCCCACAGCGCGGAGTACACCCTCGTGGAGGTCCCTAGTCGTACTGGGATGATCGGGAGGGTGCGATCAGGGTGAGAGAGGATGGCGAGAAGGCGACGCAGTACAGCGACATGAAGGGTGAGTCGCTCCTGACGAGCCTGGAGCATGCTCAAGTCCAGAAGAGAGGACACAACGTCCTCGCAAGTCGCGAGCTGCTCGCTGCAACGGGCTGAGCGAATGGCTCGACGCATTGGTTGTCGTGGCGAGGAAGGAGGGGAGACGGTGGTCTCCGGAGGCGCAGACGGTACTGCGACAGAGGGCTGAGTACACTCTGTCGAATCCTGCGATACCTTAACTCCAGTAGCGAGAGGGGCGAACCGCGACGGAGATGTCGGGAAACCCACTACTGAGGAGGGCGCAGGTGTACACTGCACCGTGGCTAGGAGGCG